CAGGAAGCAACATACAACATGCAACATACAACTTGCAACTTGCAACATGAAACTTACAACATGCAACTTGCAACATACAACATGCAACTTACAACATGCAACATATAACATACAACATGTAATAAAACCTTTATCAGCATTTTTTCGATATAGCGGTATATACTTTATGATATATGCCATCATAAAGATTCTCGACAGTGGTTAAGATGTACTTCCATTCTAATACTTCCATTCTAATACTTCCATTCTAATACTTCCATTCTAATATCAAAATATTCTTACCACTGTAATAGAATGACGAAAGCCAAGGTTCCTCGTCAAGTAACCCTCGCTGCCGAGGTGAAATTCGACGCTGGTCGCATGGCAGTTACACTCTAGTACACGATACAGACCCTGAGAGTGCAGAGTACGCCCTGGACGCTATGCTGTACTGTGGGTGTGAAGGTACTATCAACACTCAACATTCTACCTCGGTTAGCCATTCCAAGGTTGATTAACAGACTGGGTTGGGGTTGGCATTGCAGTGCATTGTGGGACTGTTTTGGGAGACGTATTTCCAAGATGGCTTCTATTTCGTCCCCTCAAACAGCCCCATGATGCACTGCAAATGCCAACTCTACGCAATCTTTTACTTATCCTTGGAATGGCTAGTTCACACCACAATTTAATCTCCTTGAGAATAAGATTCTATGTTTGAGTTGTATCCACATTTATGTGCCTTCTCATAAGCAACCATTAAACAAAGAAATGATACTCTAGGGAATGACACATGGTCTTGAGAATAAGATTCTTTGTTTGAGTTGTATCCATATTGATGTGCCTTCTCATGAGCAACCATTAAACAAAGAAATGATACTCAAAGGAATGATATGTGGTCTGAAATGGGAAAATATTGTGCCGAAGGCCAAAGGGTTTATCATAGGCATGTAGTTTTAAACAAATAATTGACTTTGTTGACAGCAAACAGTATTGGTCCCACATAACTCAACCCTATCCTCCATGTTCTTAGATCTAGGAATGACCTATCTTTCATCGCTTATCGCCTATCTTCTCTGGTCCCAAAACGTTTTTCAAAAAAGATGTATAGAGGTTTTGCACCACCACGTGACGGCAGCCATGTTAGATGGCAGGAACAATACAATCGTTTTACGTGAGAAAGAATTCAGTTCCCAATAGCAATGGGATTTTATTGTCGTGCCATCTAACCACAGGCAGCCCAAGCAGTATTATGAGATGAGCACATGATGGTGCAAAACCTGTATTAAGCTTAAACCTTTTGGACCTTGCCTATTGTATTTTTCATACACCATAATATGGCTGACGAGAGCACGAAAACAAGGTCACTCAGTCATCTTGCAAGGCTGAGCAAGGCTGCTCATTCAAGTCAGACAAGAGGTCCATTTCTATACTTTTCTAATATAAATGCATTTAATGTGCTATTATATCTTTTATTGTGAACTAATGGCTGGATGATCTCGGTTTCGTGCACTTGTCAGCCATTATGAGAACGGTGTATAAAGGGTGCCCACTCAATAGAGGTTTGTAGAGGAATTTCAGGATCATGCAGCTAGCTTAAATCATGGGTGTGGCATTACTAATATATTAATATTATTAATATTTTAGGATGGGATAGCGAAGAATGGGGCGGATTTACATCATATTTGGCAAGTGAAGAAGACGAAGAGGTTAGAATAAACCACTATAAACAGAAACTAAACGAATATAATAATTTTTTTCAATGTAACGATTAAATAAGAAGTAAGAGTTAAAAACCGCGTAATAAACGTTTCAAACAATAACAAATATACAATAGTTTGAAGTTGAGGAATTTGGGTCAATATCATATATGTTTAGAAATTGGCCCAAATGCAATGGTAGACTGTTTCGTCGATACAGCGGCCATATTGCCAGGGGCAAAGCAAAGAAAAGATGACGGAAAATATATAGAGTTGCAAACAGTATAATTATACAACATGCTCTACTTCTGCACATGCGCAATTATATGGTGATGCTGTTTTTACTACGAGTCAAGTGAACATCAGGTTTGCTCTTCCACCACCCTGCACTATGCACTTTTTCTTTAGACCTTGGGTATCACCTAAAGCATCATCTATAGGCCCAACAACACAACAGGCCCAATTACAAACCCAAAATCGAACTTGAATAGTTATCCATGGTAAAAGTAGCACCAACATATGCTTGCACATGTGCAGAATTGGAGTATGTACTATAATTACCCTGTGCAGAAAGCAGTAATATACTGATCCTGACAGTGTTGGGTCTTTCGGGTCTAACACCAAACCAGGGTATAGCCAGGGGACCAATAGTTGCGCTTGTGGTACTCCCTCATTACATCTCCCTCAGTAAAGTATAGGTGGCATGCACTGCTTATGCATCGCTTCTCACCAATGCGACCTAGGTTCGTGTCATGGCAGTATCAGTGTCGTGTGTGAGTAGGGTTGATTGTTGGTTCTCTCCTGTGCTCCAAGGGTTTTTCTCCCATTTTTCTCCCTCTGTAAAAATCAACTTGTAAATTCTAATYCCATCTTTGGGTATTCGCCTAGTATAGAACTTACGGCTCTATTGTGATTTTCCCACGCTGTGCAAGGGTGGATCCAGGGGTGGCAAAACGGGTGACTAGTCACCCCTCGTCTAAAATTTCTCAGTATGTCCTTGGTAAAGGTCATCCTCGAATTCCTGGTAAAACCTTTGTAATAGTCATCCCCCGTCTTAAATTTCTCAGTACATCCTTAGTGACAATCACCCTCCAATTCTTGGTAAAACCTTTGTAATAGTCACCCCCCGTCTTAAATTTCTCAGTACATCCTTAGTAACAGTCACCCTCCAATTCCTGGTAAAACCTTTGTAATAGTCACCCCCCGTCTTAAATTTCTCAGTACATCCTTAGTGACAGTCACCCTCCAATTCCTGGTAAAACCTTTGTAATAGTCACCCCCC